ATGATACCGACTTCATCCTCAGGACACAGATATCGGGTCAGTTATTAACCGTATAATTCGAATATTTTCTAGTGTGGTATTTGCAAAGAATAATTGCTATATTAAGCTGACTGTTTTAATTCCTATGAGAAAAAGACGACATTAACAGCCCGGCTCTGGCTGTGTACGTCAAGTTCACTGAATATTCTATTTTGTATTCTGTATAAAAAAAATTGATCAAAGCATAAAATATTATGCAAAATGTGTATTCATAATATATCGTATTTTTCGGCTTATAAGGCGCACGATAATGTGATATATAAAAGATTGAATTATCCCAAGTAGTTGCAATGTAATAAACAACTGCAAAAGCGTAACCCGAAGCACACACCTGACCTTGAGTATAAAAGGCCCAGGGTGATTTTCCAGGACTTTTTTTTGGTTAGAAAAAAAAAAGCGCGCCTTTATGCCGGAACATCGGTAAGTTTTACAGGGTTAAATTCATGTCAGTAGATTATAAGAGCAATGATTTTTCCATTGAAATTCTGTTCAGGGCTCACTGGATGCCTCACGGCTGTGTCGAATTCCTCCTGCGTTGACAGATTCCTTGATGCTGGGGAATAAGAACATAACATAAGAACGAAGGAACACTGCAGAAGGCCTACTGGCCCATGCGAAGCAGGTCCAAGTCTCCTACCGGCTTAAGCCAATGCACCCAACCTAGTCAGGTCAGGTCACATTGACTTAAGGGAGGAACACGGCAACCGACCTGGTAGCACAAGCTATCAGGTCCAACTCACACCCACCCACATCCACTCATGTATTTATCCAACCTATTTTTAAAGCTACACAACGTTCTGGCCTCTATAACGGTACTTGGGAGTTTGTTCCACTCATCCACAACTCTATTACCAAACCAGTACTTTCCTATATCCTTCCTGAATCTGAATTTTTCCAACTTAATGCTCTTGCTCCACAGAATTAGAGCTACTCACCCCTTTCCTTGGATTGATTTTAACTTCTTCCCATCCCACGGGAGATGTATTATCTCTACGAGTTTTAGCGCTCCCCTTGTGAATAATGTAGTGTAATTTCTCACCTCTCGGCCTCTGTACGAACGTTACAATTAGTTTGGGTAAAATTTCTTATAGGCGAGATGTACTATAGTGTATACTTCAAAGTGTAATGTCCTCTATGCGAAAATACGGACTAACCTTCTTGGAACGTCGACAGGACTTGGAGAATCTCGGTGATCCAGCGAGGCCCGGGCCGGTCTTCGACTCTTGTAGCCTCCTATCCTTGAAAATGATATATGGCAACAAAAGAAGACACCAATGAATAGTGAGACATAATTTGACTTATTTTTTTAATTACTTAATGCTTAATTGCTTTTCTCGTGGTGGACTTGTTATACTTTTTCACTTGCTTCATATTGAGTGCGTTCACCTGAGCTACAGATGCTGGTAAAGTAACTAAAAACGGCTGAGAGTTCAAGATCATGAATTTCCTGAAGTAATTTCTTTGGTTTGCATTCCAATTTAAAGTCCGTCGAATACATTCGCATGAGGAAGATTACTTCTTCGCGGTGTTCTCTGGAAAAATTAGTTTCTGGCATGAAAACAAACATCAATGATATGTTAAACGCGCCGTATACGGTGACTGGCTGGCTGGCTAGCTGGCTGGCTGGATGGCTGGCTGGATGGCTGGATTTTTACGAAGTTTGGTTACTTCAGTAGCCACCCTCCACCAGCACTGAGCTAGCCATTTAAATGTCTAGAGAAAGGTGGTAGACGAATTGTCTGTCAAATACAAGTAACCACTGATGAAAGACAAATATTATTTGACCTTGAAATTATACAGACACATTTACCTGAAAAAAAAAGTATTAGGCTCCCTGTGAGCTGAAGGCCCCTGCCTTCCCTTTCCTCTGAGTGGCCATGGTTGTGTATAGCATCAAACTAGCAGCTGAAACTTGTACCAACTACTCAGCAGGCCGCTCACTCCTGCAGCTCGTACCTATATAAATATTTTAATCATTTTATAGACGCCATTAAGTCCAGGCCCGCAACTTAGCACTCTGCGCTGCCTTTGCCTCAAAGATAATCTCAACGAACTCTTTGAGTGCTAGATATAAACGGAGCAGAAATACATTTCATGATAACCTTCTCGTATTTGTTACAATAAGCTCGGCCATCTTAAAGTAGTGTAGGAATTCCCTAGACTTGTTTTGGGTGACTACTGTCGCCCTAATATGCGTAATCCATTTAGTTTTCTACTTTCTGAATTATAACTTTCATACTCCCACGCTATTTTCTAATTTATATACATATTATTAAAAAAAATACATGTTTCATATTCTATGTATGATATTAATAACACACTGATTTACATGTGACAGTCACTGCCTCCAGCCTCTTCCTCACTGCTCCAGGGAAAATACCATGCTTGGCACCCATGTAAAAGTGTTGGTAAAACTTTATACTGGTGCATTGGTACATTCCCATTTTTGCCTCCACTGATAAAGTGCTGTCTTTTCACATATGTCTCAACACACCATTTATATATATATATATATATATATATATATATTATATATATATATATATATTTTATTTATTTATATTATATATCCACCGGCCGATTCCCACCAAGGCAGGGTGGCCCGAAAAAGAAAAACTTTCACCATCATTCACTCCATCACTGTCTTGCCAGAAGGGTGCTTTACACTACAGTTTTTAAACTGCAACATTAACACCCCTCCTTCAGAGTGCAGGCACTGTATTTCCCATCTCCAGGACTCAAGTCCGGCCTGCCGGTTTCCCTGAATCCCTTCATACATGTTACTTTGCTCACACTCCAACAGCACGTCAAGTATTAAAAACCATTTGTCTCCATTCACTCCTATCAAACACGCTCACGCATGCCTGCTGGAAGTCCAAGCCCCTCGCACACAAAACCTCCTTTACCCCCTCCCTCCAACCCTTCCTAGGCCGACCCTACCCCGCCTTCCTTCCACTACAGACTGATACACTCTTGAAGTCATTCTGTTTCGCTCCATTCTCTCTACATGTCCGAACCACCTCAACAACCCTTCCTCAGCCCTCTGGACAACAGTTTTGGTAATCCCGCACCTCCTCCTAACTTCCAAACTACGAATTCTCTGCATTATATTCACACCACACATTGCCCTCAGACATGACATCTCCACTGCCTCCAGCCTTCTCCTCGCTGCAACATTCATCACCCACGCTTCACACCCATATAAGAGCGTTGGTAAAACTATACTCTCATACATTCCCCTCTTTGCCTCCAAGGACAAAGTTCTTTGTCTCCACAGACTCCTAAGTACACCACTCACTCTTTTTCCCTCATCAATTCTATGATTCACCTCATCTTTCATAGACCCATCCGCTGACACGTCCACTCCCAAATATCTGAATACGTTCACCTCCTCCATACTCTCTCCCTCCAATCTGATATTCAATCTTTCATCACCTAATCTTTTTGTTATCCTCATAACCTTACTCTTTCCTGTATTCACCTTTAATTTTCTTCTTTTGCACACCCTACCAAATTCATCCACCAATCTCTGCAACTTCTCTTCAGAATCTCCCAAGAGCACAGTGTCATCAGCAAAGAGCAGCTGTGACAACTCCCACTTTGTGTGTGATTCTTTATCTTTTAACTCCACGCCTCTTGCCAAGACCCTCGCATTTACTTCTCTTACAACCCCATCTATAAATATATTAAACAACCACGGTGACATCACACATCCTTGTCTAAGGCCTACTTTTACTGGGAAAAAATTTCCCTCTTTCCTACATACTCTAACATATAATATATATATATATATATATATATATATATATATATATATATATTATATATATATATATATATGAATGCAGATATCTCATTATGGAGGGAGAGGGAGAAAGCAACAGATGTTAGAGCAACATATATACAATATCACGAAGTGCATTTCCAGTACAATGGAATTATACTTCAGTTCAGTAGCTAGAACTGTCATTCTTGGAATTTCAATAACTATCATCAACCAATCAGACTTCACGCTTCATCTAGCCTTGAGAGCCAATCATCGCTGACGGCTCATACGCCTGCAATACCCACAGCTGGAATCTGTACTGTGCGAGTACTAGGAAGTGAGTACACACGTGATGCACTAGAAAACACAGGTTTATGCACGTGAATGCATTCATACAAATACCCATATGAATATGTATACACATGCACACCAGCACGCACCCTCACAAACCCATTTATATGGGAGAGAGAGAGAGAGAGGAGAGAGAGAGAGAGAGGGAGAGAGAGAGAGAGGGAGAGAGAGAGGGAGGGAGAGAGAGAGGGAGGGAGAGAGAGAGGGAGGGAGAGAGGGAGGGGAGAGAGAGGAGGGGAGGGAGAGGGAGGGAGAGAGGGAGGGAGAGAGGGAGGGAGAGAGGGAGGGAGAGGGAGGAGAGAGAGGGAGGGAGAGAGAGAGGGAGGGAGAGAGGGAGAGAGGGAGGGAGGGAGGGAGGGAGAGAGGGAGGGAGAGAGGGAGGGAGAGAGGGAGGGAGAGAGGGAGGAGAGAGGGAGGGAGAGAGGGAGGGAGGAGGAGAGGAGAGGAGAGAGAGAGGGGGAGAGGAGGGAGGGAGGGAGAGAGGGGAGGAGGGGGAAGGGAGGGAGGAAGGGAGGGAGGAATGAAAGGGAATGAAAGGGAGACGAAGAGTGGTAGGGAAAACAGTGTAATGTCATATATATAAAGACACGTAATACAGAGAGAGCCTATATTTTTAAACTAAATTTCACTAAGGATGGAACACTATCATGTTTGAGATTTGAGAAACCTAATAAAGATCTATCCTGAGAGAAACATAGTCCAGAAAAAACCTTAATCAGCATTACTCTTCTTTTTACAGACTTTCTGGCTAGCTTGTTGCTCCAGTCACCTCCTTGATAGTGTAATCTTATCTAATGTGCTTCATGACAATAAAAACAGGATTCAACACTGAATATAACTTGTCCTCGAAAATGTGCACAGAAAGGATTTTGGCAGCTCCACTTACTTCATTAAAACATTGGCCAAAATTGGTGAAACTTGGGCAGTCTTAAAGCCCTTAACAACTGTTAACAAAATTGCAATTGTATATTCAATATAACGGTGATCGATAAGATAGATCGACAAGACACATACGATAACGATTGTATATTCATGTTAGAGATAGTTATCCTCCATTGTAGACGCAGTGAACATCGCAGAAAGAAATAATTCGTGAACACTCTGAGTGACCGGTTAGAACAGTCGTCTGAAAACTAGGAGGTTTATAAACTGGAAGACAAAATTAACTGAGTACTGAATGACCTCGACGAACCAGTGGTGGCTTACGTATTAAATTTATAGTAACCTGCCATCTGGCGTACAGTACGACATTGCAGTGGCCTCAAGGTGAGCTCAATTTTATCCGTTGTTGTTCTCGATGACTTCAATTTCTATACATAAAAAGTAATCTTTTATGACGAAAACAGGTATCATGAAACCTGACTATGGCCAGCTCGAGATATAATTTTTTACATTACTAGGTGGCTTTTTGGCAATTAGAACGTAAATATTTGTCCAGGATTAATACCGAAAAGTACCTGGGAGGCCATCACTCTGTCTCTTTCCCTACCACAGTTATATCTAAAGAGGAAAGTGAGTCTTGCCTCGGGTATCTTCTAAGAGAATCTGTTGCCATAAACCTCATATCGTCTTATTAATATACTGCAAAGTTTGTTTACACAATTCATCTTTGGTCGTACCACCTATGACCCTCCACCTCTCTCTCATAAGACACCTGTTCAACAGTTAGACACCTTTATACCGAAACGTTTCGTTGAGGCAGTAGCCTTCTTCATTCGGAAACAGCGGAGGCAGCAAAAGGAGCGGAGATATAAAGGATATGTAATCAGTTCATCGCCCTCGAAGACTTGCCTTTGAGGTGGTCAGTCCCTCCCTTCGTTTGTGCACCTTTGCCCCAGAGAGATTAGATTTATCATACCTTCTTAAAACTATGAATGGTACCTGCCTCCACTACCTCACTTTCCCGACTATTTCACTTCGTGACTATGACTGAAGAAATACTTCCTGACATCCCTGTGAATCCGTTGAGTTTTCAGCTTCCAACTGCCATCCCTTGTTGCTGTGTCCCATCTCGGGAACATCCTGTCTCTGTCCACCATATCGATTCCTCAGCATTTTGTATGTCGTTATCATGTCCCCCCTGTCTTCCAGTGTGGTCAGGTCGAGGTCCCTCGCCTCTTAGGACATGCCTCTTAGCTCCGGGCCTAGCTTCGTTGCAAACCTTTGTACTTTCTCTAGTTGCCTGACATGCTTGACCTGAGATGGGTTCCAAACTGGACCTGCATACTCCAGTAAGGGCCTGACGTACACGGTGGACAGGGTCCGGAAAAGTTCCTTACTGAGATTCCGGAATGCTGATCTTAGATTTGCTAGTCCCCCATACGCTGTAACTGTTATTTGGTTGATGTGCGCCTCAGGAGATGTGCTCGGCATTATACACACTCCAAAATCCTTTTCCCTAGACAGTACTCTTCATGATCTTCATGTTTTTGCACTTGGTGGGGTTGAACTCCAGGAGCCAGTTGTTGGACCAAGCCTGCAGCTTGTCCAGATCCCTCTGTAGTCCTGCCTTGTCCTCTTCCGACTGAATTCTCCTCATTAACTTCACGTCGTCTGCAAGCAGGGACACTTCTGAGTCTATTCATTCCGTCATGTAGTTCACACATATACCAGAAACAGGACCGGTCCTAAGACTGACCTCTGAGGAACTCCGCTCGTCACAGGAGCCCACTCTGACACCTCATCATGTACCATGACTCGCTGATTCCTTCCCGTCAGGTATTTTCTAATCCACTGGAGTGCCTTCCCGTTATACCTGCCTGGTCCTCCAGCTTTTGCACTAACCTCTTGTGTGGAACGGCGTCAAAACCCTTCTTACAGTCCAAGAAAATGGAATCTACCCACCCCTCTCTTTATTGCCTTACTTTCTGTCACCTTGTCATAGAACTCGAGTAGGTTTGTGAGACATTTCCAGTCTCTAAATCCCTGCTGGTTGTAGCTTATAATCTAGATTCCTTTCTAGGTGGTCCACCACTCTTCTGATAATGTTCTCCATGACTTTGCATACAATACATGTCAGTGGCACTGGTCTGTAGTTTAATGCTTCGTCTGTCTCTTTTTTTTTCCTCTCTAAAAATTTTGGACTACATTTGCTGTCTTGCATACCTCAGGTAGTCACCTTGTTTCAATAGATGTGTTGAAGATTGATAAGTAAGACACATAGGCAACAGTTAGGCAACATTATTCCGGAACGTTTCGCCTACACAGTAGGCTTTTTCACTCAAGTACAGAAAGTAGGTAAGAGCAGTAGAGATGTGAATACGATGTAATCAGTCCATCACCCTAGATTTGAGGTTGTCAGTCCTTCAGCTTGGAGAAGCGTTCTGTTCCATAGTCTGAAACAATCTGAAGATCAAGCGACAGTGTGGAGACTTGTATACTGTCGGAAGGTGAGGTGCAGAGTAGTATGAGAGAGAATGTAATCACTGAAAAGTCACGTCCCTCTCAGATCCAACCATTCTCACTTGAAAAAGTTGTCCAAGGTGTTTTCTGTACCAAAATGCCATTGTGTCAAACACTGCAACACAATGGGTGACTACTGTGGCCAGTAGTCACCTCTTCCCCAGAGGGATGAACCACATACATTGCATAAATATCACGTTTGCCATAGAATTTATCCCAGTTGTCAATGAACAGAATTGCTATTTCCTTGAAGTGATCGTCGAACCAGAAGTTTTCACCAAATGTCCTAAACATCCAATCATTGCCTACTGGTCTTCTAGGGAAGCCGCTTACCATTTGTGATGGCTAATGGCCTCGTCTTCGTTGCTGCTATCTATTTCTCTTCACAGTCAATAACCACTTCTTGTTATTACACACATCCTCTTTGAGAGGAAGAACCACCTCTTAACACCTTCAACTCAGACGAGTGTGTGTGTGTGTGTGTGTGTGTGTGTGTGTGTGTGTGTGTGTGTGTGTGTGTGTGTGTGTGTGCGTGCGTGCGCGCGCGCGCGTGCGTGTGTGTCTTTTCTGTTTCTTTGTGTTTACGTTTACGTGGTGTGAAAATATTGTATAATGAGATTTAACTTTGTTATTGGTAAGATGGCTCTACTATCAAAGGCGAGAGGATGGATAATCGTGTATGTAGTGGTGTGGGCGTGTACGCTGCCACCATCAATGGGATACCTATCGGAGGTGCTGAGAGTGGGCATTAATGCTCAGTTCTGCAACCAAGATGGAGCCACGCTGTTCTGTGACTATAAAGGCACTCGGAGGGTAAATATTAATGTCTTTTTATTGTTTTTTAGACAGTACATTTATGCTGACGAAGACACTTCTGAACTTCTGAAGACACTTCTGAAGGCACTTCTGAAGGCACTTCTGAAGGCACTTCTGAAGGCACTTCTGAAGGCACTTCTGAAGGCACTTCTGAAGACACTTCTGAAGACACTTCTGAAGACACTTCTGAAGACACTTCTGAAGACACTTCTGAAGACACTTCTGAAGACACTTCTGAAGACACTTCTGAAGACACTTCTGAAGACACTTCTGAAGACACTTCTGAAGACACTTCTGAAGACACTTCTGAAGACACTTGGGAATGTTGAAACGTTTCCTCACTTCAGAATATAAAAAGAACAGTAATCAATCACTAAATGTTTTATCACAACTGATGTACCGTTTTGAGCTAATGAAGCTACTGGTTGGCTGAACATTTCCACAGTTAAGATTCTCGAGACTTAAACAAATATCTAATTTATGAAATTTCCGATTTTATAAACAATTCCTAATATTTATATTCTTTCTTTCAACAACGGCCGTATCCCACCAAGGCAGGGTGGCCCAAAAAAGGAAAACGAAAGTTTCTCTTTTTAAATTTAGTAATTTATACAAGAGAAGGGGCTACTAGCCCCTTGCCCCCGGCATTTTAGTCGCCTCTTACAACTCGCATGGCTTACGGAGGAAGAATTCTGTTCCACTTCCCAATGGAAATAAGAGGAAATAAACAAGAACAAGAACTAGAAAGAAAATAGAAGAAAACCCAGAGGGGTGTGTATATATGTGCTTGTACATTTATGTGTAGTGTGACCTAAGTGTAAGTAGAAGTAGCAAGACGTACCTGCAATCTTGCATATTTATGAGACAGAAAAAATGACACCAGCAATCCTACCATCATATAAAACAATTACAGGATTTCGTTTTACACTCACTCGGCAGGACGGTAGTACCTCCCTGGGCGGTTGCTGTCTACCAACCTACTACCTAGAATATTTATATTCATCATCATTATATTTAAGTTGATTTTCTTATTTTACAGTTTTGTTTTACGTTTGACTCGAAAAATATCTGCTAATTTTATTGCTTATTGTATACAAGAGAATCATTAATGTCGTAATCCATATAGGCGCAATAATTATATACAATATCATTATTGTATGCCAACAGTGACTTTCAGTTCAATACGGAGATGATCTGAGAGAACAGCAGATATGGAAATATTTTCCTCAGCCTGGAAGTCGATGTTAAGTACTTCAGTCTTGATGAATCTGAAGCATAGGAATGAAGATGGGCAGGAAACAAGCAATTCAGCTATAAGTTTGTGAGGTCAATATACAACTTTGCTAGTACTGACTTGTGTTCGGTGTGTTTCTGACACTGAATTTCTTTGGAGGTGGTTATACAAAAATAAAGGCTTGAGTAACATTAACGCTTCTTCAAAAGTCTTCAAATTCTGCAACACTTCGAGAAGCAGATGAGGGCAAATTACTGATTCATACGGAGCTTTTCCTGCCTGACAAATTTATTGACCTTCAGTAAAAAATTGGATACAAAACCATGATAAAGAATACCACACAAAAAGGCTGTTAAGAAAGGGGCAGCTTGTGATTTATGGGAAAAGGCTGTGATGGATCGAGACATGGCCAACCAATATAAGTAGCAGTGTGCGTTCATAATTGGGGTAGGGGGAAGTCATAGTGGGGACCATTCACGCGTGGCGTTCTACAGGAATTGGTTTTTGGTCCTATTGCTAAGAGTATCCATTAATGATCTTGTGGTTGAAAGGACATAAGGAGTAATTGGAAACTTCATTTAGCACAGTTTAGCCTCCACAACAATATTTGCTTCAAGTCTGTAGAATGTACTTTGTGGTAGCACAATATTTATTATCGGTAGGTGTGACTATAATGGTAAAGGAAATGATAATATAATTACGAAAATGGTATACAATACCGACAAGTAGATTAGTAAGACATGTTCAAACAAAGTGTTGCATTCTCATACTTCAACTTCACTTTGTTGTAGACTGTGAAAATTATTATTATTATTATTTGAGCAAATCACCTACAGGACGCTTACAGGACATCACGTGAATTATTACCTGCAAGTAATTTGGGTGAGGTAAATGGGACTTAGTCACAGTAGGTCACTGAACTGCAACTCCTTCGACTGCCCACTTCTTCACCACTCTTACAAAAAGCTAGACCTGACATTAAATTAATAATTATGAAATTAAAACCAGCTACTCCGGTAAAATTAAAATTTGTGGACTGGATGTTATTTTGGTTTACTTGCTGGGTACACAATAATATAACTATTAGTACAGTGCATATAATGCAATAGTGTTATTACAAAATAACTTTGTATTGCCACTTACCATTTAATTATTGTAGATGGATCACACCACAACACCTGCCTAACACCTAGACCCTACACTGGCCAGCTGAGTTCTAAATGCAAGGGCTACTGGTGTACTTCCCTGTGAGTGATGTTCCTTATCTTCCACCATTCACTCGTAATTCTTGAGATCCCGCAAATTTCCTGTTCCAATTCTTCACCAGGGGACTTAAACATGGGTTCCTATTACAAATTCAGGCCGAAACACCCCAAATTGGCCTCAGAAAACGCCGAATTACATTGCACCATGCAGTCCAGTATCCAAATAGCATCGTATTTTAATACGCAATTATATTATTTATATGTTCTACATTTAGAAAATTATGACAAAAATTTCCACACAGACAATGGAATCGAACTCTCCTCCAGCCTGAGGGACTGACCATCTCAAGGACCAGTTCAAGGCAGATTGACTGATCACGTTTTTACCTTGCCACATACTCTTGCTGTTTCCATATTTGTTCTCTGTGTTTGACTGAAGACGTCTTCGGCGTAAGCGAAAGGTTTAAATAATAATGATATCCAACTGCATCTCTTGTATCTTACTAAGCCAAATATAGCGAATCACTACAGTCGGCCCATTGGTCCAATTTGGGTAGAATTCGAGATGTAATATTTAACGTTGTGCCGTTAAAAGGAGTGGTGGTGGTAACTGAATTACCACTATTAACCGATGATGAATAAAACACCTTCCTAATACTTTGGTGCCTTTATTGCAGAAACATTCCGCCGCTCTCGTGAATAAATATACCAAGCTTTGGCACATGTCTTGCTCATTTACTTGTAGGTTTTCTTTACTATTAAACGATGTAAATCCCACATGGACGTAAAATCCAACATTTGCTAGAAATGTAATTTAGACAAAAAATGTGGGTTATGGCATTTTTTTGTGAAGACGTTTCGTTCACCAGGGGTTTTATCACCTGAATTCTGAAATAAAAATATCCCCGGTGGGCGAAACGCATTTACAGTAAAATGTCATTGTGTGTCTTGGTTACACTGCTTCCGAGATATATAAATTCTTTCTCTCTTTAATTTTAAGTTTATGTGGGGGTGTACCTGTTCACGGATGGAGACCTTCAGCCAGACAGTTTACTAAAATAACTATCTAATTATTGTATCTTTCGTAGATGGTTCATATGGATGAAGAGCTTGACTCATCGGTGCAGAAAGTCTTTGTGCACAACGCTGTGAAGCTGCAGCTGAGTGAGTCAGTGTGCATCAATGTTATGCTCAACAATGTGGCCGACGTGGTGGTTGTGAGAGGCGAGGGGCAGCCCTGTGAAGCTCACCTTGAACTCTTGGCCAGAAATTCAACCTTAGATAGACTGCCTAACCAGGTGCATTATGTTCACCTGGAGAATAGCATCTTCAACTCGCTAGCCACAGCCCTCAGCATCACTCAGCTCACTGTCATCAACTCAAGCATTAAAGTCCTCGACATCTCCAGCCCTCTGCAGAACGACGTCCCCGCTAAGTTCGAATCGTCTAAAATAGACACACTCGAAAAACTGCATGTAGCAAATGGATCGGAACTCATACTCGACAAATCTTCTGTAGATATCGTTTCTTCACATGGATTAATTATTGAAGCTCGTGTAGTGCTCAGAGAATCGTCAATAAATGCATCCTTAGAAGAGAGTGTCGTCATGTATCCAGGAGCACACTAAAACTTGACAGCTTTTCTGGACACCTGGCGGTTAAAGTCAAGTCTCAGGGACCCAACGGGAGACCACAGGTGACCCTACCTCCTTGTATAAGTATTCCAGATAAAAGTTACTGGGAAGAATTTATCACGTGTCTCATACTACTGATAATTGCTTTCGTTTTCATTGTAACTTTAATTTGTATCCTCAAAGGTAAATTGTCGCTTGGAGACTGGAAGGTGAAGGAAAGCAAGAAAAGCTCAAAAACAGACTTAGAATGTTCGTTGATTGATGGATTAATCAATACTTCAACCCAAGTAACTCTTGATGATATATCCGAAACATTTGCAATTATTCCAGTGAGAAATTTGGATGATATACATTCCAAGAATACAGAAATTTCAACATCGCTGCTAAGTGATAAATCACTGTGTGAAGAGGAACTCAACCAGTTTTATAGAAAGATCAACGATCTCGGAAATGGAGAAGCTAGCAACGTTACTCATGCACAGACTCAAGCCGATTATTATAAAACTAAGCATTGTGAAAATAGTAAATATAAAAATGCGAAAGAAAAGCCATTAACAGAAATCAAAGTAGCTGAAGATGAACATAAAAAGGCACAGGAAGAGAAGCACAAATATGAATATCTGGTAAAAATAAACACGGAAAAGAAAAAGATGAGAGAGCAAGCTGGTAAACACATAAAAAAATATGTACAGAAAATGCGTGAGAGCACTGAACAAGTACTGGATCTCTGGAACAAGACGATCGTCTCATTTGACTGGAACACATTTATGGTAGATCCCCAGGAATGGCTGACATTTTTTAAGTGTCAAATAAAGGAAAGGGAGTACTGTCTGAAAGTCCAAACTGAACGAGAGAACTCTACTTATAAAACAAGTGAAAAGATACTGAATCAAAGCATTAGTGAGAAAAATGAGCAATTAAAACACAAGCTTGTTAGTGATATCAGTAGTATTAAGCGTGACTTTAATGAACGTAAAAAAGGAAAGACGGGAAATCTGAAAATTTTTAAAATAAAGACAGACACCTGTAAAATCAAACATGGTGTACGTAAGGAGGAGAATCTGAATGTCGAGTCTCAAAAACTTAAGGAGTCTCACGAAAATGCTCTGTTATCTCTCGATGAAAATTTTTTGCAGGAAATGCGACTTATCTTAGAGTCTATCTTGACTATGCATAGACTGATTGTCCTCTTTTCAATACACGTGAAAATTAAAAGGTGTTCGGAAAAGCCTGAGGGAGCATCAGCGGTCAGCAGTCAGAAACTGAAATTCAACCACTATTAAACTGATGCCGGCATTGTGAATTAGTTTTGATTAAATATATAAGATTATTTTTTTTTTATTTTCCACCGAAGTGGCTAGTTTGTTGTGCACCCCATATCCATCCTGTGGATGGTAGCGCAAGAGCATATGGATACACAAAAGGCCTAGGAGCTAGGCCGCAAAAGGGTTAACATGTGTACATTTGGATTTATATCTACAGTTCACTTATCTGTTACAAGCAAATTTAGGAAATATCTGGTATCTTATTTTCATTAATAAGATAACCTGACATATCACAGGTTATTATACTGTATCTCTATTTTCATCAAAAAGTGGATAATTAAGCACACAGTGGTCAAGACAGTGACCATATGCCTGACCAGATAATTTGCATTTGGTTTGATCATCTGTCTCTCCCCAAACTGCCAGAAGTACTTGTAACCAAGCCTAAGCCTGGCCACTACATCAGTCAATCTGTTCACATTGCAAGTTGCTCCATAAACATACTTTTCTACGTTCATGTTATAGCGGGTTATAGATCTACTCAAACTTCTAATTCCATTCCTATAACATTCATTTTCATTATTTACTTCGCTCCTAATGTTCATTCCTAATGTTAGACACAGATATACCAAAGTTATATTCAACATTCTCCTTCAGGGTGCTCTTCTTGGTTAAGATATAAACTTTATCATGAAGGAGTAATCCAATGTGTGATGGGATCCACAGCAATTGTGACATTAATTCCCTTTTCCCGGATTGTTGAGTATATATACCTGGCTTCTCCAATGAGCATGTTGTTGGAGTCATTATATGAATCAAGAGCTTTCAGTGATGACATAGAATCAGTAATGATAAGAATCAAGCTCAGTGTCATAGCTTTAGCGCCATTAGGACTGCAAACAATTCAGTTTGGTAATTCTTATGCCTAACTCTACAAATATATTATCGTTCTTAACTAGGGAGGTGGTAACAAGAGCAGATGCAGCCCTGCCAGAAGACTCCTGTTTAGATCCATCAGTGTATATAACTTGTGATAGCTTATTACTACCAACAGGCGAGAAATTTCTATTTGAGCAGTTGCTTCAACAAGTGATTTAAGGAAGGGATTACTAGCAATGAGCTTCTTGGAAGGAGCTTGCAGGTATGTGATATTAAATGAACACATCTTCCATGGAGGGATGAAATTCTCTAATTGTCTACTGTGATATAGTTCATTCAAGTTAAAAAACTTAATACAATTGTATATTTTCACAATCCATTTAGATCTGTGTGTATTTATTTCTAGACATTTAGTAAGATTCAAAGTGTCTGGTTCATTTCTTAACATTCTAATACTGAGTACAGTGTTAATCTCAATAATCCTATCACTGATATTAGAAATACCAAGGTCCTTCCTCATATTAAGAACCTTTGTAGATTTGGGACAAGCGAAGAATAATTTTCAGCTTCATTTTGCATTAACTCCAATGGCTGGAGAGAACTCTCCCAAGCTAATATCAACATGGGCGCAGCATAATCAGTTAATGACCTAACATACGCTACGTACATCATTCTCACGATTCTCACAGCACCATAGTTGGGGTAGTAGCCAGCAACAGTTTTGAGAGCATTTAGCCTATCTTTGCATTTCTTATTCAGTTGTGGTATGGTGGATTTATTAAAGGGTACATCTACACATAGGTATCTGTAAAATATAACTTAGCTTATGTTTACACTCTGCAAATTAGATGGGTGGGGGATGTCGTTTGCTTGTTAATATTTGTTTTAGAGGAATATATTATGAGGCCTACTCGATTACAAATTGCTTGAACTTCATTAAGAATGGTTCTTATCATCTTATGCCCTGTTCTACTGATCATGATGTCATCAGCATAGCTTATAGCTATATGTTTAAATGAGGCAGGTATAGCATTTAGGAGAGCATTAATCAGAACATTAAATAGCATGGGACTGAGAACTTCTCCCTGCGGTGTACCAAGGGATTATTCTTTCGACTCGCTTCTAAAGCCTTGGTAGAGGACAGAGGATACTATATTTGGCAGGTATCCTCTTATCCAGCAAAGTAGGTTACCACCAATATTCATTTTGGGTGATTCATGTAGTGTAATGTTTGTTTGCTATATCAAATGCATATTTTAGATTAATATGGTAAAACTAGTGAGGTGTGTACAGTGAGAAAGGTGGAAATACAATTTTGCACACTTCTACCTTTCATGAACCCGTAGAGATAAGAGGAAAGTTGGTATCTGATTCTGTAGCACAGTCTGTTAAGTACAGTTCTTTCAAACGTTTTACAAAGACAACTAGTTAAGGAGATCGGTCTGAATGTTTCAAACTGTTGGGGCTTATGAATAGGCACAATGAAACTATTGGTCCAGGAAGTATGGAAGAACACCCTCAAAGTAACTGATATACAGTGCTAACAAAGGGTTATCAGGCACGTGCCTTGGAGTTCTGAGAATATCATAGGTTATACCATCCTTTCCAGGAGCAGTTGATCGACCTTTAGATAATGCATTATCTAATTCATACTCGGTGAAGAGGTAATCACTCTCATCAATATTTTGGTTCATAAAATTAATAAATTTCAAAATTTCTTCAGAAGCGCACCCTACGTTTTACCTAATACGAGATGGAAAGTTTTCATGCCTGGATGTTTTAGACCAGCCATTTGCATTTGCAAGAGGAAAGGGATGAGCAACATTGCCAGGCTTTTTCCTGGTTATTTGTACCTTTCCAAACCAAACTTAAAGGGTAGACCTATTTAACCCACTAACAAATTGTTCCCATTCCTGTTGCTTATGTTCTTACTTTCTATTCCTTGCATTTGTTAGTGCGGCTTGGAAGGTTCTGAACAGGTCTGGGGTTCTACATTTACGGTATACTTTACCAAACCTCCTAGCTGCACGTGTTAAATTGCGTGTGTGTGGATCATTATAGTACTTACAATGGTTTTTATTGTCATTTATAGTGGAAGATTTGTTTTCTTTTCCTGCCCACTTGATCTGTGAGTACAGTCTCAATAGTGGCAACTAGATCATCATTGAATTTTTGTGTGCCAATGGGCTCGTAATTCTTGAACCATTTATCTAAGTGGCTAATAAAGTTATTTCTGTGTTCTGGATTGATAATAAGTTTCCTCCTTCTGATTTTAGTTCCTTGACTGCTGGAGATATGATCAAGATTGACAGTTGTGAGTCCTGGGAAGTGATCAGACAGGAGACCATGAACTATGACCGTCATGCATCGTATATGATACATTAAATCCATGGCACAGATCTTGAATGCCATCATATATGTGTGTAGGTTCGGTAGTGCCCACAGTTCGACCATTACCTTCCCCATTTAGAAATTTCACTAGTTTAGGTCCATTGGTGTTTGTTATAAACCCACCAATATTATGTCTGGCATTAAAGTCCCCAAGAATGAGGGTAGGTTCACTATTGATGTGATCTGGTAACGCATCAGGTCGAAGCTGGTTCGCTGGAGCATAAAGATTAAAAATGTTTATGGAAAAATTGCTTGCATATGCTTTCACACCATTATACTGCATGTTTACTCAACTCTGCAGGGCAAGGAGAGAATGTGACAAGTTCTTTCTAACATAAGAACATAAGAACGAAGGAACACTGCAGATTGTGAACAGCAGGGGGCCCAACACTGACCCCTGTGGAACACCGCTCGTGACGCTCCCCACTCTGATTTCTCCCCATTTATGCAAACTCTCTGCTGCCTAGTTGTCAACCATGCCTCTGTCCACAACAGTTGGTTGACCTTAAGTTATAAGTTGCATATCCAGGCAACTTTAGTGGAGGTGCTCCATCTTACAGTCTGCAATACTGAAAACAGACATCAATATTCTTGGTTGCACTAATGTGGTGTAAGTAAGGCAACCGCTTCCTGATGGAAGCAATGTTCCATGAAAAATATTTGTAATCTATACACTATAGTAAGTTATTACAATCTCTTGCTCTTAAGATGGTAAGTGTGCAGACACTTAAGAGCAAATAGCATAGTTTGTACATTTTTATTTTGAGAACATTTTTCTCTAAGCATTTCCCGGCATTTTGCCAGCCAGTTAATAGGCAATGTTTGAAGCCAAGAGTCACTGGCTTCACTTTTGTCTGTAAAGCCAACTTTAAAAAAGTGTTGCTCTGGCAAGATAGTTTATTTAGCAACCCAGAAAATGGAGTAAAGACATTGTCAACAGAATGGAAACTTTATTTAAGAAGACGATTCGCTTAGAGCCAAGTTTTTAGCTTATGTATAACAAGATCTTCTCGAAGTCAACTCAGTGTTGTATGTTGTTTGGATTATTGTGTATATAATTTGCAAACTAGCTTCATGATTCTAAGCTAATGTAAAGGTGTTTATAAAAAATATAATAAAAAATAATAAAAAACTTTTGTTTGTATATTAGTAAATATTATATAGTTAAGGATTATGAGATTCACCATCATTCATTTGATAATCTACCGAAATACTGCTATTGGTGTGTGTGTGTGTGTGTGTGTGTGTGTGTGTGCGCGTGCATGCATGCTTGTGTGGGCGTGTATGTGTTTGTGTATGTCTGTATGCATGAATGTACTCTCAAGCAAGAGAGAGCAACAGCAGTGCTCCCTGAATTTAAGTGCTTTTGGCCTATAATAGGATCTTAGAGATTATTGAACGTGACAGGTTCAGTGAACAGCCCCACAAACATGTAACAACGTTCCCAAGGCTAGAAAAGTGAAGTGAAACTCACATTTTCATGAGGCAATTTGAAAACGCCAATATTTGCTAGAAGTAGTGTGAGGGTGCCATGCCTAGTGCCAGGCACTTGGCACTAGACCACAAGTGATCATAATTACACCAATATCAGCATAATTAGGTTAGACACCTAGGCAGAGAGAGAAATGCGATGACGAACAGTAATAAGGTACTTAATAACGAACACTCGGGACGTGTTAACACGTACTTTCTAGTAGACGCCTTGTCCACTAGTAAGATTAGATAGTCAAGGGTCCAATATATTTTTAGTTAGAAAATAAGGAGCGAACTAGTACATATAAAGCTACGAATAGTT